TTAAACATTTTTATGCACTGATTATTTATCAAATTAGTTATACTAATTCCGGAAGAATGTTGTGGCCACAGTACAAATCCACGAACGCAATGACTTTAACATGCTTGAAATAAAGTTCATTTTTCTTTATTTTTATTGAATGACGGAATTAGTATTAATACAAATAAAACTGCACTCTTAAAAGTCTTATTGCCTTAGGTTACGATCCATTTCAGTTTGTTTTGACTGTACAGATTTTATGTGACCGTAATTTACGTAGTTTTAATTATTTTTAGTAAAAATTACCTATAAATGATAGGAATCGATTCATTAAACGATTCTGAACAAACTACTTTCCCAAAGTACGTTAATTATGATACATGTTATATATTCAAGAAACGAGCGACATGCGTCATTACGAACAACATGGTTCACCTGATGGTAAGTGGATGCTGTGACTCGTAGACATCTACGCGGATGCGTTAGCACCCCTGAGGACTAAGATGGAATGAATCGGATGGTTAGACTCCATATATATATATATATATGGAGTCTAACCAAAATATTTATTTAAGTTGCGAACTTCTATTCCTCATTTGCGTGAATTCAAAAAGAGGAGTGTATAGCGAGTTCAAGGTTAATTTATAACGTGGATGGCTACCAGTATGTGGCCTTGTCGACCGATGATATAAGGCTGTCCACGTACAAAAGTTTTACGTTTTTTATAATTTTTGTTGACTTCTTTAACACTTAAAAATATCTTCAAATTTAAATTTTATGATCTTTCTTCACATTTAAATTTATACATTAGATGAGCACTGATTATATATATATATATATATATATATATATATATATATATATATATATATATACAGAAAAGTGTAGTATTACATACTACACATCGTAGAAATATACTGAAAAAAATATTTGTATGTCATATAAATACTTCTTTCGTATGAGAATTAAACCCTCGGTCCGCGGCGCAGCAGCTAGTTATCTAAATAAATGTAAAATTTAAATTAAAAAGTAATGTTACAGCTTTTGTACGTGCCACTGCTGGGCGCAGGACTCTTCTTATTTCTAAGAGGGATTTTAGTGGGCTGCGGCTAATATTTTTTTAGAGAAGAAGCGTGACAAAAGAGCACACAGTCCACGCGGTGAATAGAATAGAATATAATCATTTTTCTTCAATAAAGATTAGAAAAATATTTAAGAAAGTAATTTAAGCTTTGATTCTAAAAAAACTTCTAATGTAATATGGTTGCGTGGTTGGTATGGTATGGTTGGTTGAGTGGCTCTACCATGTACAAAATATTATATTGTAAATTAATGTTAAAAAAAACTCTGCTGGTTTCTTGCTATTTTTTTCCCAGGACAAAATTTTTTTACCACACTAGTGGTAAAAATAACTTTCAACAAGTATTTTTGTACTCTATATTGAAAAAAAAACTATTATTTTCTAAATATTTTCTATGCTATATATGTAAACCATAAAATTATAATCTAAATAAATTATAATTTAAAAACAAACAACGAACAAAAACTTTACAGTGACACAATAAAAATGCACTATCTATGTAAACGATGAACGTAAAGAAGGGTGTGCCCTAACGGAATCATTTGCGTTCTTTAAATTTATCGTTAAAGACTTTTCTGTCGGTGCGGCAGAAGATTTCAGGTTCGGATATCCAAACACATAAAATACCGCGCCACTTCGCTTACTGCTTCAACAACAGAGTTATTTGTGAATTGGCCGTATGTATGAAATGGCTTTATCACAGCTATACTTTAAAAGTAATGGTATGAGTAAAATTTAATATAATATTTAACGCTATATAAAAGAGATATATAAGTTTTATTCCCGTTTTAAAGTTTGCTTCTTATAAATAAATATATATAATATAAATATAATAGAGGCTTTCCTTGAAATATACGTTGCTTCATTGGAAAACTTTGGAAAATAACCATTTGCCGTAGTTGAAAAGCTTAGCGATTGAAAATATCGATTGCCCACCTCCTCTAGCTTCCTCTGCCATCTCTTACGTCACTTACAGAAACATGTGGTGTTTAAATTCTGTTACACAGCTGGCCACATCCTTTTCTCATTTATGGGACATATAATAATCCGTTCTTGTTGGCAATTACATTGGTAATTAATAGAATCAGGCGTTACTTTTCGAAAATCCATTATATTAATATTAACGATGTTAAGTTGAGCGAGGGCGGGAGGTGCTCTTCAAACTAGGTAAGACACATGTTTTTATTTTATTGAGCGGATGGTTGCGAATTAACTCTTAACATCTTTAATTACATTGGTGCCGGTAGAATCAAACTCAGATTGATCGAATGCAGGCGACCGCTTAGGCTCTGAGGAACCACGGCATGTATGTTTTTAAGGAGTATTATTGAATTTTTAGCTGACAGTGGAGTTGCGGTGTAAAAATATCCACTACCCCATATTGTCCCATGGGTGTCGTAAGACGCGACAAAGAAACACAAACCAGAGGATGAGTAATCAGCATCCTCTAAAAACAACTGAAATAAAAGATGTGCTTGCCACCCGACAGTCGAGCCTGGCGTGGTGGCAGTGTGGCATTAAGTTAAAATCAAAGTTTCTCGGCTTGAATATTGCAAGTTAGGCATAAACCGACCGACAAATTTCTCGAGTTTGGCTCTTAACGTAATAACGGTTTAAAATTCTTCATAACTTCGTAGAGGATAAAATATGTTTTTTTTTATATTTATAATCTCTTTATATTATACCATCGTGTTATATATTATATCACCGGGAAGTAGCAGTGTTAGAATATACACTACCCTATATCGTCCCGTGGGTGTCGTAAGATGCGACAAAGGGAAACGAACGTTTGTACGGGGTAGAGCCACGCTGCAGCTATATTATGCTTGTAGCACGGTCAGTCGACCGGGGAAGGACCAAGATCTCACAGAATACCAGCGTGAAATATTTATTTATTTATTTATTTATTTATTTGCCATTACGTTACATTACGTAACATTGGTACGTCAAAATTACAATTACAATTATATAGATACAATAATATAGTTAAAATTACAAATTATACAATTACAATAATATAATTAAGATACATCTCATTTACAGTACATTATTTTATGTGTCAAACAAGTCAAAAAATGAACATTGCATATATTCTTCTATGTTGTAAAAAGCGTGATTTAAAAAGAATGTTTTTATCACTTGTCGGAACGCATTTAGCGGAAGTCTTGTTATTTCTATTGGCAATTTATTGTACATTATAATTTTTATTGCAAAACCTTGCTTGAACACTTTGACTAATCTGGTTCTTGGAACAACTAATCTTTCGCGATTTCTAGAATTGTAGTTATGTACGTGCTTCTTCATTGGTAGTTTACTTTTTTCCTGGTGTACTTCTAGAAGCGATCTATAAATATATAACGAAACGACAGTCATAATTTTCGCTTTTTGGAAATAGGCTCTAGCTGATGTCGATCTTTGCAATCCATGTATAATTCTAATCGACCTTTTTTGACAAATCAGTACTCTTTCAATTTGTGTAGCATTTCCCCATATCGTAATCGCGTAGCTAATAATTGAGTGACAATATGCAAAGTAGACGGATATAAGAGTTTTCTTGTCAATAATGGGCTTAAGCTTCAATAATGCGTAATTAGCACTGGCTAACTTTTTACAGACGTTATCTATATGGGTTTCATAACTTAAAGTGGAATCGAAAGTACACCCTAAAAATGTAACGTCACTTTTTGTGACTTTATTTGTTTTTTTGCTTGCATAATTAATAATGATACTTTTTTCTGCATTCAAAATTATTCCGTTTGTTTCAAACCAATTTTTAAGCATATTTAAAATATCATTTGTCTTCTTGGATACTTGGACTGCATTTTTATCTTTAACACCAACCTGTGTATCATCCGCGAATAGTGTAACCATCGCCCAGTCAGGTAAATTATTTGCAAGGTCGTTCACATACACTAAAAACAGCAATGGTCCCAGGATAGAGCCCTGCGGAACGCCAATGTAACTATGTTGTGAATCAGAGTTAGTATTATTTAAATTAACTATTTGCGTTCGATTGTTAAGATAAGACTGCATTATTTTCAATTCTTTTCCTTCAAATCCGTAGAATTTTAATTTATAAATTAAGATATCATGCCTCAGACAATCGAACGCCTTAGATAAATCGCAAAAAATGCTAGATACCTTCTGCGATCCATCCAACGCGTCCAATATAAAGTATACTGTTTTTCTAATAGCCATTTCCGTTGATCTTTTTTTGCGAAAACCGAATTGACAGTCTGTAAATAGATTATTTTTTTCAAAGTAGTCTAATATCCTAGATTTTAAGACAGTTTCTAAAATCTTTGATATAACTGGTAATATACACACCGGTCTGTAATTACCAATTTCAATAGTTTGTCCTTTTTTGAACTGTGGCACAATTTTTCCTATTTTTAAGCTATCTGGGAAAATTCCTTCTATAATGCAATCATTCAAGACTTCCAATATTATATCAAACATGTCTTTGTTGTGGATGATAAGTTCTCTAATAGTTTTTGTTGACATATCGTATATGTCTCTAGACGTTTTACATTTTAAACTATGAATAATATTCCAAAATTCAGAATTATTTATTTTATGAAAGCGAATTTTATTATTTGTTGGGTTTTTTAAATATTTGCTACATTTTTCAACCTTAACCTCTAAATTTTCCGTAAGTTTACCAGCTATATTGCAAAAGAACTCATTGAAACTGTTTGCCATATTTTTATTATTTGTAATTATGTCCCCATAGTGATTTTTAATTTTAGTAATTTTATTTATTCTTTGTGTTTTAACATGATTTTTTTGTTCCTTAATAATAGTCCAAGTAGTTTTAATTTTATTCGTGGAATTTTTAATTCTAGACGCGTTCCTAAGTTTTTGGGCTGTTTGTAGTACTTTTCTATATATTCTCTTATATCTATTTAGATTGGACTTTCTAATTTTATCTGGATACAAGTTATGCAATATTTCGAGTTTTTTGAAGATTATTTCTAGATATCAAAATACCCTTGGTTGTTAGTTTATTCTTATTTTTTATAGGTTTTATTGTTTTTAATGGAAATGCAGTGTAATAACAATATTGTATATAGTCTATAAGAATGTTCATTTTCTCATTTGCGTCAAGTTTCAAATTTACATCCTTTCTTACACATTCAAAGTCTTTACAGAACAAGTAATGAAAATATTTTATATTTTCCTGAGATATTATTCTAGATCTAACCTCAGTCTTCTCCTTTGGTTTAGGATATTTAGAATTCAATTTATACTTTAATTCTATGACGTTATGATCTGATAACTTTACGTCTAATACTTTACCCCTGTGATACTGAAAATCATCATCGTCATTTAAAATGAAATTATCAATACATGTGGAAGACTTCCCTTTGGTTCGGGTTGGCTCATTTAAGACGAATTTACATTTTAATTCACTCAATAGTTTTAAAAATTTGGATACTTTATTATTTGGTTTCAATAGGTTTAAATTAAAATCTCCTGCAATTACAATTCTTTTGTTTTCCCTCCCTATTTTTTCGATAACTTTAGTCATAATATCTTCGAATATTAAATAATCATAATCAGGTCTATATACACAAATAATAACTAATTTAGACGATTTTACTTCAATTGCCGCTAGTTCACAATTCATTTCAATACTCAACTTTACAATGTCATGTCTTATTTTATATTCAAGTGAGTGTCTAACAAAAATAGCTGTACCTCCATGTTCAAATAGCATCCTATTGTAATATGATACAAGTATAAAGCCTTCAATAGTCATTACGCCTAATTTCAATTCATTGGTCCAAGTCTCTGTTAGACAAAGCACATCACAAGTTGTATTTTCTGTTAATAATTTTAGCTCTAAATATTTATTATTAATACTCTGAATATTAGCATGCACAATCGTTAACCAGTTAATGGAGTCTTGGTTGTGTCTAAAAAATTTAGTGAACAATTTAAATTAGAATTTAATTTGATAAAGTGCAAACAAGACGAAGCATTAAAGTGACTATCTTTGATACTTTTAACAGTTTCCTCAATCACTATATTTTTTACATTTACCTTGACTTTTACATTTATTTCAAGATATCTGACATTCTCAGATACCGCAGCTAGATTAAAGAGTTCTTTATTAATAGTAAAGATTTTATCATCATTTATGTTGTCGTATATTATACTTCCTAACAAAATGTTGAATTTTCTATTTTCTTTGCTCACAATTCTTCGAATTTCATCCACATATGATGTCCCCATTTTAATGTCGTAGTTTCCTATTAGTATTACCGCTAAGTCATTTTCTTTCAAATCTTTGGTATATAAATCAAAGTGCTTCAATATTTGTTTATGATTTCCCCCTGTTTGACAGTAATTTGTTATTTTTGTATTTTCCAATTGTTGCATTAATTTGATTGCTAGTCCACTCCCTATTCTGTCCGAAAACATTTCTATTCTTGTCAGTGTTTTTGTGTTCTCTTTTCTTTTTCCGCTTTGTGCCCTGTCTCTTTCTGATGTTTCTATTTTATTTCCTTTTCCTTGCAGCTTTGAAGAGTAGTTTTCCTGCTTATGTATTATTTCTTGTTTTTTCTGGACTTTCGTTGATATTTTTAGTTTAGTAAGTGTTTCCAATTCTAATAATTTATGTTGTATTCTATTCTTCTCTATCTTTAAGTTTTTCAGTTCTTTCTGTAATTTTCGAACCCTCTTATTTTGTATTTTAATTTTTTTTAAGAAGGTTTTTAGTTGCATATTTAATTTTAGGTTTTAATAGCAATTTAATTCTTTTATTCCTTTTTATTTTAATATTTTGTGAGCTCAGATTATCATCGGTTTGAGTTACTGCGTTTTTTTGAATTTTATTGAAAAGTTGTGTTTTGTTTAAACTGCTAGCTGGCTTGGGTGACATACCGCGTATTTTTTTAGGTCCTAAAGTTTGTATAGCTCTTAGTGATTTAATCACCATCTGGCAGTTTTCTAGTTCCCTTTGCAAGTCATTGTTCTGCAATATCAAATTATCTACTTCTGTATTAGCAGCTTGAAGAGTTTGTTTTAGTTGTTCAATTTGCATTTCTAATTCAATCATCCTTGAGCTATTGTGTATAGATACGTCTGGAAGGCTCCTTAAACTATCACCGTACATAATAACTGAAATGCAATAACTGAATAGCAGCTTAATACTGCTGTGTTTTGTATGGTAAGTGTAGAGATCCGGAGACCCTTTTTTACTGGAAACGAGGCATTTCATCTTAGTCCTCAGGGGTGACAACGCATCTGCGTTTTAATTATTAATCGATGATAAATGTAGAAGTCTATGGAACACAGCATCCACTTACCATCAGGTGGACTGTGTGCTCGTTTGTCACCCTTAATCTATATAAAAAATATTGGCAGCAGAATCTTTCTAATAACAATAAAAAAACATGATTGCCAACCCCTTTGCCAAGTGTGGCAACTGTAGCAAATATTCTCCCTGAGGCAATTTATATGGAGAATATAAGCCTTTGTTCAGCAGTGGATTATTGAAAAGCTGTAACGATAACGGTATTGAATTTTTAAAATCAAACAATAAACCATAGAATGACTTTGTCAAAGCTCATTGTTTGTCAGTAGTATTATATAATATCATTATCAGATGAAAATGAAGCTACATCTAAAAAAATTAAGTTAATAAAGTTATTTAACAAAAGCCCGTGCAACTTTTATAATGAGCGAATGCTTTATGCTCGAAGTAAGTAATGCAAAAGCTTATGAATGCTGGCACTTTTGATAGTAAGGAGTTATATAAACAGCTACGCATACTAATGTTATTAACTAAATTACGCAAGTAACTTAAAAAGCTTTCTTACTCTAAAAATAACATTTTATATTAGCACAAAAGCGGTGATAAAAGTTGTTGGAGATATTATATTTACGTAGTAAATACGACAAATCACATGGTTTTGAATATGTTTCATTTTGTTACGAGCAGAAAACAAAGTAGATTATAAATTTCTTAAAACTAGTCTAAATTCTATAAAACTAATTATTTTATCTTCAGTTATATTGAATAAGGACAGTAAAAAATTCTTTTATGATATATTCCATTAGTATTTAAAGTTATTTGATAGAGAAAAAAAAGATTTGCGATTTTATGAAAAATATACGGATTTATGAATTATTTTTTATTTTTTCTATTTTATTATTATATATTTTAAAATAGAGTAGAGATTCCCTAAATTAAATCTGCGCAGGTTAAAAGAACCAAGCCTACAGATATATGCTTTGCAAGCACACATTAGATGTAGGCCGTGCGTCAGCCCACTAAATGCTTAGTAAATATTGAATAAAACTAATTATACTGATCTGACCCGTGAGAAAATTTTGTTTTGGAGAGCATAAGGGATCATCTGTAACAGAAAACATCTGGCCGTCGAGCTTCAGCACGTCAAGTAAGTCTTTCAAGACAGAAATCTTCGGATCCCGCGCCTACGTCACATAACCGATTGAAGCCGGTCACAGTCGAGCGTGTGCCTGCTATACTACCATATATCAGAGGATTCACAGACAACGCTACATCTTGAAGCGAGCTTCCATTACATGCTACAAGCTACCAAAGAAGGTCAGTCAATTTTTACCATCCATCAAGTACATATAATATCCCTCCACAAATGCAGGAGTGTACAAGCTAGACCATGAATGTGGTCTCTCTTACATAGAACAAACAAAGATCTAAACAAATCCGTGTGAAAGAACGTATAGCTGACGTGAAGCACCGACGTTCCGGGACCACATCCTACCATCCATCAGATTCAATAGACTACATATCCTCTCAAAAGAACACCGATTCCTACCAAGTATTATACGGGAGGTTATTAAAATTAAAAAAACATTCTAATTTCAATAGAGAAGATAAATGGGTGCTGCCTTCTGCTTGGGATCCTATAATTAACTAAATTATATCCAAACCTAAGCACACCACTGCTAGACTTCAAAATACTGTAAGCTAAAAGTAAACGTAAAAATTAAAAGTAGCCGGGAGAACTATGACATTGAGACGTCAAACAGCTCAGTACTACCTGTGACCATGGGTGCTGTAAAGCACCCGAAACGTCGGGAATTAATTAAAGTTTTAATCAATGTGTAGAGTTCGCGTAAATATAAGTAATAATTATGTCTTGTAAGTGTTTTTAATTATATAAATACTAGAATAAGTAGATATTAGGATGAATATTGTTCTGTTCTTAATTAAGCGCTGTCATTTTAAATGGATTATTTTTAAAACTAATAGTCGTCACTGCACGTACGAGGTATGAGAAGATTTTGTCTTTTTTATATATAGAATAAGGGTGATAAACGAGCACACAGTCCACCTGATGGTGAGTGGATGAAGTGGCCCATAGACGTCTACATTTATCCTCGATTAAGAATCAAAACGCAGGTGCGTTTTCACTCCTGAGGACTAAGACGGAATGCCTCGCAACCAGTAAAAAAGGGTCTCCGGATCTCTACACTCACCATACGAAACACAGCAGTATTAAGCTGCTGTTTACGCTGGTATTCTGTAAGAGCGTGGCCCTTCCCTGGTCAAGCTGACCCATTCTTGCTACAACCATAATATAGCTGCAACGTGGCTCTACCACGATAAATACTATATTAATGCTAAAATCTACTAAAACACAATAGATAGGATGCGCAGATTAACATTAATTTTATGATACTTAATAAGATAAGTGTGCCAAAAAAATAATTTTTAATAAAAAGCCTTCTTCAAAGATCAAAGAAAAGAGTAAAACAACTTCACATTTTGAAGTCGGTGCAAAGACAACATAGTATATAGAAAAATTAAAGCCACGACATCAGAATGTGAAGCCTTTTTTTTCTTTTTATATCTTTGAAACGGCTATTACGTTTTATTAAAAGAAAATAAACTTTTGAGTGAGCTTAGGAACACATACATTATAAATTTTATTATTCCCTATTTAGCCACCAACAAGTGGTGGAATTTCTCCTCAAATATAAATGGGAATTATTTATAACACCTATGAAGTAAACTAACCTAACCTAATCTACCGTTTTCTTCTAAATGGAAATGCCTACGCATACCCGCCTCGTGAGGAGAAGGACGGGCTATTTCGGACTCGCACTGACTAAAATCCCATGGTGTTCCACCTTCGCCTCATATTGAAGAGCCACGGGAACACTTAAGTATCCATCCGCAGACCCATAGCAGCCTCTCCTCGGTAGAGGACAACCCCTCCCTCTATTTCTTCTCAGGTACGGCGCAACAAAACACTAAGTGCGCCTTCCTCCGCGACCTCCTAACTCCACTTGCGCAGCGGACGCCCCCTGAGCCTGACTCGGAGTGGCCATGGGGTCAGGAAAACTGAGCACTGGAAAACACTAGTCTTCCTGACCCCAGGGACGGAACCTAACCTAACTATAACCTTTTAATAAAAAGAGGATAGTCAAAATCTGTTCACAATAGACGAAAATATCGCGTAACCGTTACCGTTACAGTTTTTAATTTACCTTAACTGCTCAACATAGGCATCGCCCATAGATTGCCCTATTGATATATACCATAGTTAGTAACCATTGCTCCTCAGCACTCCTCCTCCTGGTACGGTTTACCGTGTAACGGTAATACATTGTAGTATTGGTGTAAGAGTATCCACTACCCCATATCATCCCGTGGATGTCACAAGAGACAACAGGGGAAAACAAATCAGGAGATAGGCAGCAGCGTCTTCCTAATAACGACTAAAAATTAAAAAAGCTTCAGTTGTCAACCCGCTTGTAAAGCGCGGCAACTATTGCGTAATATACATACAAAAAAAGAAAAATATTGAACATAGAGGCGATTGCAAGCCTCTTTTTTATGTTGACTAAAACTTTACCAAAAATATAAGAAAGGAGTATGCAGTTTTAAATTAGACTGTCTCTACTTGTTTATGACTTTCACAACATAAACGCTTCCGTATAATCCAAATTTACTACGAGCCGTAGCAGTGCTACGAAACGCGTAGCTTCGACTACGCGAATAAACCTATTATTCGTACTTAGTCCTGCCTAACTATGTGCAGGCACTTAATTGATAAGATTAAACTTATTCTGAGAGGATAAAGCTTAAGCGACTGTAAACCTTGACTTTAGGGCTTTTAATTGTTTGAACTTTATATTTCAAATACGTTTTTTAAGAGGCTACTTAATGCTGCTGTTGAACGTTCACATATTTATGATCAAAAATAGCTTTTAAAAATCTTATATTAATCATGAAGTGGCGGTGTAAGAATATCTACTATCCCATATCATCTCGAGGGTGTTTGTTATAAGAGGTGATAGAGTGAACAAACTATGAGATGGACAGCAGGGTATTACTTATAACAACTAGGAAATGTGGTTGCCAACCTGCCTGCCAAACATGATAACTTTTTTACAGAATGTTTTTTATAGTATAGGGTTTCAAACGAGCACACAGTCCACCTGATGGTAAGTGGTTGCTGTGGCCCATAGACATCTACATCTATCCTCGAGTACGAATCAAAATACAGATGCGTTGTCACCCGTGAGGACTAAGATGGAATGCCTCGTTTCCAATACAAAGGGTAACGGTTCTCTACATCCGCCATATGAAGCACAGCAGCATTTAACTGCTATTTTATGCTGGTATTCTGTGAGAACGTGGTTCTTCCCCTGTCGAGCCGACCCACTCGTGCTACATGATTGTAGCACGAGTGGGTCGGCTCGACCGAGGAGTACCACTCTCTCACAGAATACCAGTGTAAAATAATAGCTTAATACTGCTGTGTTTCCAATGATGAGTGTAGAGATCCAGAGACCCTTTTTTACTGGAAATGAGGCATTATATCTTAGTCCAGAGAGGGTGACAACGCATCTACATTTTTGTTACTGAATTGAGGATAAATGGAGATATCTATGGGTTACAGCATCCACTTACAATCAGGTGGACTGTGTGCTCGTTTTTCACGCTTATTCTAAAAAAAACAATAAGAGATAGTCGATATCCTCACACCGCTACTACACAGTTTTTTTTTAACTTAGACTAACTCATATTAGTTCTAGATTTAAATTAATCTTTAAAAA